ACATTTATCGAAGTCATTGTATCTAAATTGATGGGAAAAAACATCGGAGTATTACATCGTTAAATTCAACTTATATTGCAAAGTTCCTTAATGCGGCTTCTTAATTCGAATGTATCGAGGGCTGTTACTTTCGGAGTCTCAGAAGGTGAAACTCAATTGCTTTGAAAAAGGCGAGAAGAACGTTTCGCGGAAAAATAGATCTGTCCATTTCATGAAATAAAGGACAAGCGAAAATTTAAAACAGCTGTAGTTTGACATTTACCTGATGTGTAAGAAACGTTGTCATCTGAAGCATCCAGCTTCTCCATTGAGCTGCTGTCACTCCGATCTTCTTACCGCTCTCCACAGACACCACTCCCAGTGGATGGTTTGGCGCCAATTTCACTACCAGCTCCATAGAGATCTCCTCAATCGTATAAACCGCGGCCACCTCGCGGGCATTGGGTCGGGCCTTGACCTGCATGTTGTCAAACCGGATCGACGAGTTTTGAACCAGTTGCATTTCGCGCTGGCAAAGCTGTGGGGTTATGTGGGAAGTGGTGAATCTAAGCGAACAGGGGCAAGAAGGAAATTATTCTTCATCCAAATGCGTTACTGAACTGATTTTCAAAACATTTCTATCAAATATTACTATGCACTTTCTCAGTAATTTTGATCGGTTTGGACCGATCTGTCTCTAGAAATTTTTATTCAATGGAAGGCGAATTTCCATGGGACACATCGATAAATCAACAACCAATCGAAGACAAAATCCATCAATTGTAACTGTAAATGTGGAGCCAGTGTGACCGAGTGGTCCCGAATTCAAGTCCTCCACTCTGTTACTGGACATTTTGTTCTCGGTTGCCCTAAATTTAACCCATTGACTCCACCATAGCCTGTCGTGATTTTTTTAACACTATGTTTATTTACAATGTCTATTTACAATTTCTTTGTGTTGGCCTCGAAAAACCCCAATTAATGTTGTTATTTGACGCTAAAATATACCGTAACTGGACTCAATATTATTGAATTTAAAGAAAGTAATGCAGGCCTCTTACTTGTCCACAATAGCAGATTGACGCTTGTCTACACTATTCCACCATTGCCTAACAATGGCCGGCATCCATTGCAACAAGGAATAAAACAAGCCACATGCTAGCTGCTGGATAGTACGCTGACCCCCGAGACGCCTTATATCTGGCTCAGAATCAGCTGTTTCCACTACCACTGCTGTCGACTTCAGGGGAATCAGTCTAAACAGCACGCAAAGAAGACTATCCACCATCTTATTTTGCTTGATGTATTTAGCGTATTCAACCCGCTTTTCTTGTGACAAGCTTCTAAAGAACTGAAGCAAGACTTTCCAGGCTAACATAAGAGCGAGGCTGACGATCTGCGCCTCGGTGTCACCTGTCATGTCCAGATGTTCTCCAAATGGCACATGCGCTTCGTGTACCATCTCAGTCATATACGCGCATGACGAATTTATCAGCTCCATCAATGCGGTTGGCGGCGATCTGTCAATGAACAATCGAAAATGACAAATGATCAGCATTGTTTGAAACATAGGTGTCTTAGCGGGAATTGAATCCTAATTAAAAAAAAAAAAAACATTTACTGCGGAAAGATTTTTCCTGATTAAATAAGCATTGGTAACAAGCATTAAAGTGAAAAAAGGGCATAGAGCAATGGCTTTGAGCTTGGGGCAGTCTAGAAGAGATGACTCCCTACACTGTGTATCGATCACGATCTAGTTTGTAGAAAATAACTGAATGAACACTCAGAGACCATTCAGGAAAATGCGCCCCAGTTCTATCTATTAGATAATTACGACAGGCAGAGGTTTCCTTTTTTTTTTAACCATTTAAAGCAAGCATAAGCATCTGTTATTGCTTACCTGATAGCTTCGTCCTCTCCTTCCGCAGTCTCTGATTCTTTTTCGTCTGATAAGGCGCCTTCCTTCATTACTCTAAAGATCAACAATATACAGAGCTTCAACACAACGTTCTTGAGATGCGAGCGGCAGCCAGAGGTCACTTGATATTTTTTCGGGGTAGTTGTTACAGATTTTTCAGTAGTGGCGATATGTTAAAAAGGAAAGCTGTACAATTCCACGGTAGTTTTCCAAAAATGGTTGACTTAGCTACTAGCGTCCTCTCCTCGGTTATTTCCTTGTAGTATGTAGATACGTAATGTTTTCAACCGCTTGCAGTTTTGCTTTTTTGAAAATTGAACCCAACGTACGGTAGATAATTTTGATCCGGTAGTAACGATCGCGTGGTGTAACGGTCTGGGTGGAGGGAGTTCTCCTAAAGATTGTTATTGGTGTTATGACCAACGTTTTGAAAAGCACCAGCTCAGCGAAAATCAGAGTAAAACTAAATTGGGGAGTTCTTTGTGAGCGTGATACAGAAAAAGGTCTTGGTTAGATTCGCCGAAATGTGTTTGGCGCTTTTACCTATGGATATAGATGTCAGAACTTACTTAGAAAGCAAACGATAGGCCGCAAATTGNCGCTTTGACACTGACCTTGAATCAAGGAAGATAATTTTGATGAAATTAAAGGAGCATTTTTCAATTGATTGTCGAAAGTAACCTGCGATTGGCTTTACTTTCCTTCGCTCTGTGATTGGTCTAAAAAAGCCTGCGCACCAGCCTCTCAACCAGTCGGACACAGAATCAAGCCGGTCGCGTCATGGTACTCTCGTTTACATGCGCTTCAGACATTCTTCTTGTTTTGCTTTCAGTTTTCATTGGTTCTTAGAGGTATTTTCCTTTGTTGTCATTGGTCCCTGCGAATACTTTAGATCTGGATTTGAATGCCAAGCGTTTGCGATCCTAGGCCTAGTCTACAGCCGTTCATGTTTCGGTGCGCCCGCGAACCTCTCTTTCTCTCCAGTGGGGTTACTAAAACATAAACGACTAAAGGGTGAGCTTACAGCGGACCTTGCAGCTCTCTTGTCCTTTTTCTTTTGTCACCGTATCTTTTTCTTCGATTAAAACAAGGATCAACCCACTCACCTGCATGGAACAGGAACAATTGTAACACCGCATTAAACAAAGTTCCGCTAAAGAACTCCTGCCATTCCGTAAAGATATTTCTGGGAGAGTCGAGGGTGTCAGCTGCTGTTAAAGATCCGCTGTCCGCTCCTTGTGGCGCGTCTTTAACCTTGGGGATTTTTGAGGCATTTTCCTCAAAGAAACGTGCAACGATGCAAAAAAGTGAACTTACTTGGCAGCATAGGGCCACACATTTCAGCGACGTTGTCAGGATGGGGCGATTTTCCTCACAAGTCTGTTAAAAGACAAGAAATGCTCATAACCACCCTAGCAATTATTCTTGAGCTATGTAGAAGATGCGGTGAAAAACGTTTAGGCTTTTTTACAACATCTTTTGATTGCGCCCTTTTAAAATAAAACTCCAAAGTATATAGAGTCACTTAGTCTCTCGTTACAGCTCCCTCGACAGGACTCGAGAAGAACACGATCTGGTAATGGAGCAAGAGACTTATTTTTAAAATTGAGGCACAATAATTGCTATAACGCATTTTGTTTAAAAGTAAGTAAGCAAGAAAGAAAAAAGGCTTTGTAGCTTTTTAAGAAATCATGAACTTCTGGGATTGTTGAAAATGGCTGCTTTGTTTTCGCTAATCCTGCGGTTGTAAGATATCGGATCAATATCAAGGCTCAATTTCCGCCGCTCTCTCGGACCCGGTCTTTCTCGTTCCTCTCTTCGGCGAGGAGGGCGGGCTCCGGTTCCCGAACAGCGGCTGGTAATCGGGTCTAATCAATATCAGTATCTAAGCAACCACACTCCGACCCCTCCCCTAACCAAACAACAGTTGACTGATAACAAGTTAGGTTAAAGTAACTTAGATCTATGTTTTCGAAGTTGCCATTGCAACTCTTTACAATATGTCCAAAGAAATCCACACAGATACCTGCAACCAGCCAGCCAAGGTACACAGTATAAAATCCCAGTGCTTGCCACTGATCTTATCAGAACAATGCAGCAGAGCCTTTTCAAGAATCCTGATGAGCGACAAGTTGATGGTCAGAACACTGGTGGATGCATCGTGCAGAGGACTGTTTACGAGTACAAGGTTGTCGTGTGTCTTGTTCCACTCTACCAGCTCGTCCAAAGTCTCAGTTATCGTCAGCTGATACTCGAGCACTGCTTCTTCCACTCCTTTGGTTTGTTGAAGCCACTGGTGGAGAGCACCATCGATAATTGCGAAGATACGGGCAAAACCTACACGCAATGACACCACGAAAACACCAGTTACTAATGACTTTTTACCAACCAAGCTTAAGGCCGTTAAAAGGAATGTTGGCCCAAAGTCGTGGCAGTACAGACCGAGGACAGCAAAATCCGTTCAAAAAACGACTGAAGGCCAATATTCCTCGGTACGG